TGCCTTGGTGGGAGATGGTCAGCATATTAAAAAAAAAAATAATAATAATAATAATAGTAGAGGGAAGGCAGGGTAGGGGTCAGTCTAGGAAAGGTTAGAGGGAGGGCGTAAAGGAGGTTTGGTGTACGAGGGGCTCAGACTTCCAGAAAGCTGTCTTAATAAACTATTATTATTATTATTATTATTATTATTATTATTATTATTATTACTATTGTTATTATTATTATAAGCATGTGTGAGCGTGTTAAATAGGAGCGAATGGGGACAAATGGTTTTTAGGACTTGAGGTGCTGTTGGAGTGTGAGCAAGGTAACATTTATGAAGTAAGTCAGGGAAATCTGCAGGCCGGACTTGAGTCCTGGAGATGGGAAGTACCGTGCTGGCACTCTGTAGGAGGGGTGTTAATGTTGCAGTTTTATAACTGTAGTGGAAGCGCTTCTCTGGCTAGACAATGATGGAGTGAATGATGATTAAAGTCATTCTTTTTCGGGCCACCCTGCCTTGGTGGGAGAAGGCTGATGTGTTAATAAAAAGCAAATACGTACTGTAATAATTTTATTTATTTATTTATTAATTTGAACATGATACAGAGAAGTACAAGGAATAGAATTTTTAAAGTGCATCATGTCAAAGCCCTCCTGTATGCAGAGCATTATGGGCAGGCTTAAAATTAACTTAAGATTAACTAAGCAGTGATATATTCAGTGGTACAAAAAATTATTGTAAAACAGATAACAATTTAGTACAAATGAGTATTACAAAGACAGGTCATATGGTCATTTACTGTGTTGGTGTGTAATCAGTAGAATGGAGTATTCTGTTAGGTAATGAAGTTAAATAGTAACAAAGTTTGATTGGGTCACAGGTTGACATTTATGAGATCCAATAATGAGATACATATATGAGATACAATTTATGAGATACAATTATTCAGTATTTATTTAGTTGTGGGTGAGTAAGTGATTTTTGAGAAGAGACTTGAATTTATAAACAGACAGTGGTGATTTTTGAGAAGAGACTTGAATTTATAAACAGACAGTGTTTCTTTTATACTGTATTCACAGGTAATGAATTCCAGATTTTAGGGCCTTTTATGTGCATTGAGTTTTTGCATAGCGTGTGATGGACACGAGGAACATCAAAGAGTGATCTGTGCCTTGTGTTATGGTCATGTGTTCTGTTGAGGTTGGTAAGGAGATGTTTGAGGGGAGGGTTTATGTCAGAGTTAAGTGTTCTGTGTATGTAGTAGGTGCAGTAATAAGTATGGATGTTTTGTATTGTGAGTAGGTTTAGAGTTTTGAATATTGGTGGAGTGTGCTGTCTGTAGTGGGAATTTGTTATCATTAATCAACCCCTGTCTGGGTGTGATGCTGCTATAGCATTTCTCAAGTTAGGAGAGGCAAAAATTTATTAGGAATCAAATTCAGTAGCTCTTTGCACTGCTACAGTATTGGAATTAAAAATAAATACAGTAGAACCTCGGTTTTCATCGTTAATTCATTCCAGAAAGTCTGACGACAACTGAATTCAATGAAAACTGAAGCTATATTTCCCATAAGAAATAATGTAAATCCGATTAATCCATTCCAGTCACCCAAAAGTATTAACAAAAAATGCATTTTATAGAGAATAACAATAGTTTTATATACAGAAAACAATGAGAAATAAATATAAAAGACTAATGAAATGGATAAATGAACATTTAACATCGCTTTTACCTTTATTGAAGACTCTTGTTGGCATATGGAAGACAGCGATGAGGGGTAAGGGAGGAGAGGTTATCTCTACCACCATCACTACCACTCTCTACCACAATCACTACTGCCCTCTACCACCATCACAACCACTACCACCCTCTACCACCATCACTACCACCCTCTACCACCATCACTACCACCCTCTACCACTATCACTACCACCCCTCTACCACCATCACTACCACCCTCTACCACCCCCCTCTACCACCCTCTACCACCATCACTACCACCCCTATACCACCATCACTACCACCCCTCTACCACCATCACTACCACCCTCTACCACCATCACTACCACCATCACTACCACCCTCTACCACCACCACTACCACCCTCTACCACCACCACTACCACCCTCTCCCACCATCACTACCACCCTCTACCACAGTCACTACCACCCTCTACCTTTGTAGAGGGTGGTAGTGATATTTCTCCACTAAACTTTGCAACTCATTCCACTTTCATACTTTGCTACGAGTTCTTTCTTGAATTCTATTGTGTTTCTTGCCTTCTTTATCAAAGGGCTGGCACTCAGGGCTTTCTTTGGCCCCATGGTGGCTTATTTAGCAGTCGCACTCAATAAACAAGCACAAAAAACAATGGATTTTATGAAATATTTCGGATGAACGCGCAGGGTAATGCTCACTGGACGAGAAAAAAAGCCAGACTGACTCAGGATGCATGGGATGCTTTGTGTAGGTGTGGGCAGGCGACATGTTCTGTATGGCAGACCACTGTCAACTCGATGAAAACCAGTGCAAACGAAAACCGAGGTTCCACTGTATGTAAATAAATACTTTATTTTCATATATTACATAGTTTTTACAAAATTGGATAGCAGATTTGTAGTACACATGGGGAACATCTGGTTATGCATAAGATTATGGAGAAACTTACACCTAACCTAAGACTAATAGAATGTAACAGAACATAAAAATGAAATGAAGATATAATATAAGTAATAAGTATGGACCCTGGTCATCAGAATTTTCTACAAATGAAAGTGTTTTGCCCAGACAGTGGGTAAAACGTCTTGATTTCACTTGGCTTAATAAAATCCACTGTGTGGGCGAAATGCTGTCAGTATAGGATTGCTTTATACTGCATTGGTGTCTTTTTCCATCCTATATTGTGCTGGGATAAATGATTGTGAGGAAGAAAGTGGAAGTTTGACATTAAGGTTGGGGAAGGGGGACTGAAGACAATCAGTTTGCCATCTCAGAGGACTTGCAATGGGTATTTAGTGCTCTTATCTGTATTCAATATATCATACTCTGTTTCTGAACTTTAACAAGGAGGACTGTTGGCTAATTATTAGAACACTCAGCATATGCAGGAATTAAAAATTTTAAGAATAGTCTTTTAGAAATGATCTGAATTGAAGAGCAGTGTTTGTTTACAACTAAAATGATTTTTAATTTAAGCATACTGGTAATTTTGTTAATCTTTCACTGTTGAGACCCCTGCTCACAAACTTGCTGTTGGTGTCGAAGAATTTAAAGAAAAAAAAATTATTTTTCTAATGAAATAATAGAGGATCTTTTCCTGATGGTAATGAAGCCAAAAGTATGAAATTTGATCAAAGACTTACAGAATTACATACACTCTCGCGAAGTTAGCAGTCTCGTCAATATTTACACATCAGCAATTACGCCCAATTTGAGACCTATTTTCAGACAATTCCAATGTTCCAGTTGACCAAACTCATAGCTATTTTGCTAGAGCTCCTTTTTTTCTATCAGCTGAGTACAAGAAATTTCCCATTTACTGATTTCAACTACCCAATGAAGTGATCAGAAATTGGTAATTTGGCCAATTTCATACACAATTCAAAGAAGGTCAATATCAAAATAGGGTCCAGAATTAACAAAGCAAACATTCCTAGCACTAGCATTAAAATAACATTTTCTCTGTTCATTAGGCATGTCTCCAGGCCCTTCTTGTATTAAGCTTGCTTTCTATTTTGAATTTTTATTAAAAAAAAAAATAAAAGATTTACTGTTATGCAGACTACTGCATTACTGTAAAAATGGTATAAATAATATCAGCGCATTTGTGAAAGCTTATTAGACCCACCAGTTGATGTATATTGGATGCACGACGTGATTTGTTTACTCTTGAACATCGGCAAAAATTTAACATTTCCACTAGTTTGAGTTCAATTTCAAGGTACTTTTAGTCTATAAACCATTCAAAATTATCTCTGTTTCTGTAATATATCTTCTGTTTTATCCATTGAGACCAAAAAAAGTGAGAACATACCCCTAAATACCATACGAAAATACACCGCAAAGTTGCTGTTTTAAACCAAAAACATGGTTGCAGTTTTTTTCTCATTGTTCACTGCATGCTGCAGGACTTTTTTTTATACTGCGCACACTGACCATTCAGACTCATTCTTTCATATGTAGGCCTACCAGCTTTCTCCCACAAGATTGGAAGCCACTAGAAATTTGGCCTAGTATTACAGGGCCGACACTGGCTTACAAGCCGTAATATTACGGGACTGACAGTGAGAGAGTTAAGCTTCATGGAAATTTTAGATCATCGGCTTCCACAGAGACCAAGCATGGTAATAGGATTAGAGAATAGAATTCATGGTAATAGGTTAGGATTAGAGAACAGAATTCATGGTGATAGTTTAGGATTAAAATACTGAATGCATGCTGATAGGATTAGAATATACACCTACCATCCGACTTACGACCTGCTCGACTTACGACCACTCAACTTATGACCACTCGACTTACGATTGTGTTTTTTATGCTAAATTTCTGGGAAATAAACAACTATTTGTGTTGTACACAGTGTTTATCCTAAACCTTACAGTATAAAATACAGTACTAACAACATAAAAAGTAAAGTAAAACATGAAATACCAAAATAAAACAATAAAATAAAGTCATTACAAAAATGTTTTGTTGATATTCAGTAGTAAAGTTCGACTTACGACCGGTTTCTCGGAACCGAACTCGGTCGTAAGTCGGATGGTAGGTGTATAATGCATAGTGATAGATTAGGATAAAAATACTACTAAATGCATGGTGATAGGTTAGGATTAAAATACTGTACATAATAAATGGTGATAGGTTAGGATTAAAATACATAATGAATGGTGTGATAGGTTAGCATTAAAATACATACCATACAGAATGGATGGTAATAAGTTAGGATTGGATTTAAGGTAAATTACTGCATTAATGGAACTTTTAAAGTTACTGTACTTATAAAATGTCTCCTCAGGCCATACATAACAGGATTATTCAAGAAGATTTCCTGGTTGTGCGGCATAAGAAGATTTGGTTATCTGAAAAAGAAACACAAAAGTTTTATGAAGAACACAAAGAAAAGTTTTTTTACAATAGACTTGTAACATTTATGGCAAGGTAAGTTCTCTTGTTCTTTAGACAATTACTAATACTACAGTACTGTATCTGTGTTGAGATTTTTATTTTTGATCCCTTATTTCTTCTGGAATAACTTAAACTGGAAATTCAGATTATTTAACTTTTTTTTTAACACATTGGCCATCTCCCATCAAGGTAGGGTGATATGAAAATGAAGAAACACTTTCTCTCTCATCCAATCAATCATTGTCTTGCCTAAAGTTTGTTGACATCACAGCTCAGATGGCCCTCCAAATTGCAACATCCCTACCCCTTCAGAATGCAGGTACTGTACTTCATTCCTCCGAGACACTACTCTGGCTAACCAGTTTCCCTGAATTCCTTCATAAATGTTAATTTGCTTACACTCCAACAACATGTCAAATGATACAAACAAATCACCTCTACTCATTCCTAACACACTCACACAAGCCTGTTGGATGTCCAAGCCCCCAGCAGTCAAAACCTCCCTTACCTCCCCTCCCTTCAACACTTCCTAGGATGATCCATACTCCTACTTTCTGTCTAAATATCCAAACCACCTCAGCATCATCTCTACACTGAAATATATTTTTAATAACTCTACTTTCTATTCTCCAAGCTCTGAGTTCTTGGCTTAATATTTACACAATACATTGCTTTCCAAACATAACATCTCTGCTGCTTCCAGTCTTATCCTTGATGCTATATTTAAGCCAATGCTTCACACCTATACTCTAGTACATTACCCCTTTTGTCTCCATGGTTAAGGTTCTGTATGTTTACAGATAACTCATTGAAACGCTCACTTTTTTTTCACTTGAGTTCTATGGTTTGCCTCATCTTCTGTGGACCCATTTGCTGACAAACCTTCTCCAAAGTATTAAAACACATTGTCTTCCTCCATACTCTCTCCCTTCAATCTGATATCCAGTCTCTCATTGCCTAGATTTATGTTACTCTCATTAACCTGCTCTTTCCTATATTTTTTTTTAATTTCCTTCTTTTACATATCCTCTCAAATCGTCTTTTTCCCTTGGCTTTTTTTCAGGGCCCTCCCAAAATTCCCGTGTCTCATCAAAAAGCAACGGGATAGCCCCCCTTTTTTCTATTAGATTCTTATCTTTAATCCTACACCTCCCCCCAAGATCCTACAATTCCTTTTTTTTAAACCCATCTTTTTTAAAACCATTTTACTGTTTAGGCTATATATAGTTCGTCTTACGACCCAGTGCTTGGGACGTATTAATATGCATAAATTCTAGCGGCTTAAAATCAAGCGGGGAAAAAAGTGGTGGGCCCAATGGAAGAAGGGGTCTGTGTGGTAGTTGCACCAAAAAAAAAATCCTGCATGCGCATGCAAAAAAAACTGACTTTTTTTTGGATTAAAACGCGACTTTGAGGTTTTTTTTTCGTTAGTATTTTTTTTTGTCTTCCGTTTTCGGGGTTCAGTGATAAAATGAAAACAGTTACAAAATAGAGATGTTTTGTTTTGTTTTTCACAATGAAAACGACCTTAAAATTTAGCTCAAAAGTAGCGGAAATTTTTTGTTTTTTACCAATGTTCAAAGAAACAAATCACACCACACACAATCCTTTAAAACTAGTGCTCATATTTTTTAAATACAGTTAGCCTAAAAATATGAACTTAATCCGTTCCAGGAGTTGTTCAAAATTCAAAAAGTCTGAAAACAAAGCAATATTTCCCATAAGAAAAAATGAAATACAATTAATTTTTTTCCGAAACCCACAAATATAAACAAAAAAATATTTTTTTTATAGGATTTTTATATTTTTAACATACCCACAACAAATATAGTGTTCAATTATGTTTTAATATTTTTTAAAAAAACATATAAAAAAAATTTTACTTACCTTTATTGAAGATTGGTATGCATCGGGAAGGGGAGGAGGGAAGGGGGAGGGGGGTTGGGTTTTTGGGAAAGGGAGAATCCCCCTCCATGAGGACTCGGTTATTAAAGCCCTTCTGGGGTTACTTCTTTTCCTGTTTTTTAAATGCCCTTTGGACCACTTGAGAGTCACGGGCCCCCTGTCTACAAAAAATAATGTTCCAGCCCACTTTTCGGGGGCCCTTTTTAAAATTTTCCTAAAATGGGACAGGTTCTGCACAACTTGTTGCAAAGTGGCTTGTTTCATTTTGCTAGGGGGGTACTTCCCACAAACATTTGGCTCTTTTCCACTTCTGTATTTTTTCCCTTCTTCACATCTATGGGTTTTCTCACTTTGTTTACCCAGGGGTCCCACAAGCAATTTTCTTTGCTCCCATTGTAGCTTATTTCAGTCCCACAAGCACTAAACACAATAAAATAATCGAAAATTTTTTAATGAAGCACGGGTTTAGTGTTCACTAAAGTCAAAAAAACCAGACGGGCTCCCCGGCCTGCGTGTGGACACGGACAAGTGGGCCGCCGGACAGGCTTGGTCCCCCGGGGGTTTCAAAAATGGGGGCGATTCGATAATAGGGCCAAGTTGGTTTGAGAAAAGGTTCTATTTTTGAAGAGTTCGTAACATACTTTGAAATTGAGGTTCCCTGTAATTTTTACAATAATGCAGTAGTTGCATAACAGTAAATTTTGTTTTTTTTGTATAATAAAAAATCAAAATAAAAGAATATAATTAAGAGGGGCCTAAGACGTGACAATAAACAGAAGATATGTTATTTAGTCCCAAGAATGTTCATTTTTATTCGGACCCTGTGCAAGAAAGGTAAAAAAATCCGACAATATGAAATTAAGACACAAGCAACATCGGGATATTTTTTATTGTGGGTTTTCGCCATCCAGTGGCTTTATCAATACAGATTCAACAAATAGAAGCGAAACTATAACAAAGATGAGGTAATCAGTCCCTCACCTTTGGAGTTAGTGTTCATGATGCTGCGAACCAACCCCAAAGATGAGGGATGATTATCTTTTCTTTTGTATATAGTTTACTGTCTTCTTTTATGCCCAAAGAATCTGTATTGAAAAGCCACGGGAGGGTAAAACGTCTAAAATTAAAGATATCCAGTGTTGCACATTTTCTTAACTTTCATTCGGGCCCCATTTTAAAAATTGGCATCTTTTTTTAGTTTGCGTGAAATTGGCCAAATTGTAAATTTTTCTGCCCATTTTTTGGGTAGTTCAAATCAGTAAATGGGTTTTTTTTTGTACTCAACTGATAAAAAAATGAAGTTCTAAGAATAGCTATGAGTTTGGGTAAACGGGAAAAAAAGGGAATTTGGGCCAAAAAACAGGGCTCCCAAAGTTTGGCAAAATTTGGTGAAATATTGGGATAATTTTCGGGAGATAATTTTTTTTTTTTTTTTTTTTTTTTTTTTTTTTTTTGGGTTTTTTTTTTTTCTGGTTTTTTTTTTTTTTTTTTAAAAAAATTTTGGCGACTAGATGACTTTTTCGAAAGGGGGTTGAAACAGTAAAGGGTTAAACAGCTATGGTGACATCATGCCCCCTTTTAAAGGGCTTAGATTTTTTTTTTTTCTTGAATGGCCCTTTTCCCAAAAAGGGCGGGGAACCTAAAAAAAAAAACAAAATTTTTTCTTTGAAATTTTTAGTAAAAAGGCCTAATATGGTTATTAAATTAAAAACTTCCCCAGGTCAAAAAAAAAAATTTCCTTTGTATTTACTTTGTTAATGTTTTTAAAAATTTTTTTATTTGGGCAATTTTGTTATCAGAAAGTATTGTGTATTTTTCAAAATTATGTAATGTGTTTGTGCATGCCATGTAGTTTTTTTAAAAAGATCTTCATTTATTGAGTCTTTTTAATACAGCTAATTTGTGTTTGAGAATATATAAGGGGGTGAAAAACAGCAAAGAGTAGTTTAAAATCTTGGGTAGTAAAGGTAGCCATTTATTTTAAGGGGGAATAGTAGAGGACTTTAAAAACTACTCTAGGGATACCCTATTTATTATAAAATTTTTTTGATATTTGTGCCTGACATTTAGATAAGATGGGAAAATACTTAGTAGACTCTTTATCTAAATCCCTCATTTTTTGTTTTTTGTGGGCTTTAATTCAAAGACCTTTCAAGATTAATAAATAGTCAAGTAATGTTTTGAGTGTTATGAAGATGTCTAGCATTTTTTAAAAACGTAGCCAACACGTACTATCTTTAGAACTTAAACCTTTAAGTGGGGTACCTTTGATAGTTGGATACTATCTGAGAAATTGGAACTAACCTCTTTTTCAGACAAACTGTGATTTTTCCTCCCATTACCCAGGTGCGTATGACCCCAAAAGTTTACATTTTTTTTAGGAAAATTTAAAAATACAGTAAGCCCCCCTTTTTTCGAGGGTTTTGTTTTAAGAAAAAGGAGTAACGGCAAAGTGCGGGGAGGAGTGAACAATTTACAGAAAATTTGGGAACTTTTTCCTTTTAAAATTTTTAAATTTACCAAAATTAAAATAAGCATTGTAATGGACCCTGGTTTTTGGCCCTTTTTCATCGGCCAAATTGCTTACGGGCCCAAATTTTGGGGTCCCATTTATCGGCGTATGGTAGTGTCAACCCCCCCCCCCCGCCGCTCGCTCGTCAGTCTGGCTTTATCTCGGGCGATGAGGAACTTTTTCTTTTTCATCCAAACATTTCGCATAATTCATTTATTTTTGTGGTTTTTGATTTAAATCAACTGGGAAAAAATAACCCTCCTCAAAGAAAGTTCCCAGTAAATTCCTTTGGGAAAGAATGAAAACATATGGGAAATTTTAAAAAAAGGCGACCCCTTACTTGGTTCTTTCCAGTGGGGAAAAACAATTAATAATCTTTAGGTTTTGATGAGCTTGGGGGAAGTGATCAAAATCACTCGTTTTTAAAATTCTGGAATTCCCCTAAAATGGCAATCAAGTCTCTTCCCGACTTCCGCTTGGCTGATTTCAAGGACTGAAAAAATTTCTTGGTGGGCTGAACTGGGGGGACCCGACTAAAGGGGCAGGTAGGTGGGATGGAGCCGATATGAGCTTTCCAGGGCATGTTCAGCTGCTCATCAAAATTTTGTTCCAAATA